AGCGCGCCTTGGGCTCGCCGGGCCGACCTGAGCCACAGCCCCGTCGCCTGGAGAACCAGCCGGCCGGCCGCCGGCCTGGCCCACTCCCCAGCGTGAGTACGGGAGTGGGGACCGGGCCCCCCGTTGGACTCGCGCGTGGACAGCACCAATGGAATTTCCCCTTGGCCGGCCTGACCATGGGGAAACTGGTTCCTGGGGGTCCTCAGCTGCCCAGAGCAGCCCCTCGGGGCCAGCCTGCTATTCCCGGCCGCACGGTGGGGAGGATTGTGCGATCCAAACCCCGTGGAGAGGCTGCACTGGAGAACGTGCTCCCCCCTGCCACAGGAGCAGCCAGGGCATCGAGTGGGGGGATCTTGCTCTGGGGGTCCCAACTTGCCTAACGCCGTGCTTTGCTTTGCCTTGCAGCCTGGAGCAGCAGCTCTCACCTGTGGCCTTTGTGGCCAACAGCAGCCCAGACCCATGTGCAAGCGAGACTGTGCTGAATGCCATCAGGGAGAGCAGGAAGAGGGCAGTGGAGCAGAAGCAGGAGGATCAGACTTTTGGGAACGATCAGGAGATCAAAAGAAGGTAATAAGCTAACAGTCCAGGTCACTCCCTGTGTGTTGGGAAGGTTGTAAATGGGGCTGGCACTTTAGTGGTTAAAATTGGGCTGTGTCACAGAGTGCGCAGGGACCAGGAGCCTGGATTGGAAAAGCGCTATGGGAATTGAACAGCAGAGGTGAAGCACACCCTGTCACACAGCCCTCTGGCTGCATTGGAAGGTCCTCCAAGAGCTCCTTTTGTCATTGAGATCAAAGGGATGTGGTTTAGGTTTTTGTCTGGACAAGCTCGTGGATCAAGCGTGTTCCCTGGCATTGCTGGCCTTGGGAGAAGCTGGGTTGTGAATTGGGGAAGTCTGGCAGGGAAGCGACCTCTGTCATCTCAGGGGTTTGCAGACCAGGGGAACTTGCTATGAAAATGCTGGTATCTTCTGTAGGCCTATCATCCCTATCCTTCAGTCAGCCCCAGACTTCCATGAGAGTCAGGATCCCCAAGTCTCGTGGCCCCAGGTGGAAGCATCACACATTAAAAGATCTGTGTGCTTCCTTTGTGCACTGTAGCTAGCAAGAAGTAAAAACACGAAGGTAAACAAGAGAGACTATCTTCTGCTTTTGTTAGTCAAGGTCAGTGATTTCTAGCTCCAAGAAATGAGGGCGCAGTGTCTTTGCTAGTGCTCTGGGAAGGACAAGGCATAAATACTGGGTGCCGAGAGCTGCCGAAACCATTCTGACTGCCCGGTCACAGTGCTGCCTTGCCTTTCTTCTCACTCATTCTCTTTTTCATCTTTCTGCTTGTGTACGCGGAGGCCTCAGGCCCATCTGCCCTTCATGTGCCAGGACTTCCTGCCTGGGCTTCAGCAGGGGAGCTGAGAGATGGCAGAAGAGTGGCTCAGGCAGTGCTGGGCTGTGTGGTCCTGCCTGAAGCTTCTGCTGGAGCTCCCCGAGGGTGCGGCGGTTTGCAGGGAGCCACCAGCCACCTTCCTGCTGTGGGAGGGCACACGGTCCTCTCCTCCATCACTGGATTGCCCTCTACCTTTGAACCTTTACCTCCGCTTTGAGCCCCACAAGAGCAGAGCCCCACAGCAACAGGAGGGGTGCACAGACAGAACTGGCTTGTTTTTTTTTCTTCATTCTATTTTTTTAACGTGCCAGTACCCAGCTTTGCCATAACAGTCAATTTCGAAGGTATTAAATCCTGGCAAGCATAAAGAATGCTTGTAGGCAGAAAATCCCCTGACCTTTGAGGGCAGAATGGAGCCTGCATAAGCTGGAGATCCCTGTGCGATGGGGTCAGCGTGCTTGAGCTCGAGGGAAGCACTTGGGCTGAGCGACAGGGCTGATCATACACCTCTAGTTCTTCTTTGCAGCAGGGTTTGCTTTAAGACTTCAGATCTTCACTGAATCATTGTGGGAAGGGGTATTCGGTTTCTGACTCAAACAGTCCAGGGAACTGGCTAGGAAGAGGTAAGAGATCTGACTTTCGGAACTCAGGTCCACTCCAGAAATGAGCTGCTGAGTCTCTTTGAAATCTTGTGGCTTAGAATAATGGATTTGAGCAACGATTTAATTACATCAGAGCTACTCTGCCCTGCAGGCAGCTGGTGGGGCTACTGGTGCTTGGGAGGAGGCAACTCAGGGTGAGAGTTGATGAGGACAGGACCAGGTAGAGAGAAAATCTACAGTCAGGATGTGGATGGGGAAACCTCTGTCCTGGGATATTGGGTGACAAGAAAAAAGCAAGGTTTGTGCTTTCTCAGTGCCGAACCCACCTGGAAGGAATCTTCTCCTGAAGTAGGGAGGGCAGTCCCTGTCTCTGCTGCCTCCACACTACCACAGGCTTCTGCCCTCTCTCCCGCAGGCGTCATGATAGCAGTGGAAGTGGGCAGTCAGCGTTTGAGCCATTGGTAGCCAACGGTACCCCCACCTCTCTCGTACCCAAGTAAGTGCCCCTCAGGCCAGAAGCAACTGCTCAGAGCTGGGAGGGGGGTCCGAAAGCCTGTGGGCCCTGGGAAGGGCGTTTTGCTATTCTTTGCGGAGCCCAGCTTTGGGGAAGAGCGAGAGAGGCTGTGGCCGTGCCTTTGGTCTGCCACCCTGAATGCAGACTGGGCGCTGTAAGGGCTGTGCCACTGCTGAGGCCTCTTTCCAAGCCCTGTGCTGTGAGAAAGAGTGGAGTTGCTTTCCTCCTACGTGCCTTGCATCTAAAGGGCCTGTGGGCAGAGTGGTGGGGAGCTCATGAAATCTTCTTTAACCTCCTCTAGGCCTGGCTCTCTGAAGAGGAACCTTGCCTTGCACTGCCCAGATGACTGCTCAAACAAGAGGTCACGCACCTCTTCCATGAGCTCCCTCAACAATACATACGCTGCTGGGATCCCCAGCTCCACCCGCAACGCCATCGCCAGCTCCTACAGCTCCAGCCGGGGCCTCTCACAGGTAGGAAACACTGCCAAAGGCACAGCCCAGAGCCTTCTCTGGGATCTCCCTGTGTAACTCGAGCCCTGAGCTCATAAGGAGAGGGTGGTGTTGCTGGGCACCTGGCAGCGAGCACTGCAGGGAGTCCAGCCAGCTCAGCTGGGCAGTTTCATCTCCTTGTGGGTTAGGCAGGCTGCTGGGCCACAGCAGCAAGGAGCGATGCTGCTTGTCCTTCGGTGCATGCTGCCTGGAGAGTCCCCAGGCTGAGCAGTCCCACTGCTGTGCTTGTTTAACTCTGAAGCAAAAAGGAGGCTCTTTTCCCCTCCCTACTCAGCCTTGACCAGTCTGCTGGGGTGGATAGATCCAGGTGAAAGGAAAATAAAATCACTGTGCTGTGCTGCCGCCTTTTCAGCCAGTCAGCAAGTATTGGAGCTGTGCACTCCCACTTTGACCCGAGTCCCCTTAGCAGCTGCTGAGCTGTAATAAAACACTGCTTACATCCTGGGTCAGGCTCGCAGATGTGATGGTGAGATGTAGCGATGGCTAATGGAGCTCTGCAGTCTGGGTGGGGAAAGGTTTCCTCTGGATGGGGCAAGTCTAAAATCCTTGAGGTGGGATCCATTAGCTCTGAGCTCCTGGTGAGGACATGTCCTGCTCCTGCTAGAGCAGCCCTGTGCACACGAGGGTGTTTGAGGCAGCTGGTCAGCCTCTGCCCATGCTGCACAAAGGCAAGAGCCAGCATCTGACCAGCAGCATCCTCCCTCCCCGTCCTCTCAGCCGAGCTGTAACAAGCCTGGAGGCCGCTTGTTCCCAGAGTGGATTCAGTTTGGGGTGGCCAGACTTTGTGCTCCACAGAATGTGGGAGGGAGTTAAGCAGTCTTGAAGCAAGAGAGGCTCTGGGCTCGTTAGCCATGGCCCTGGAAGATGGGATTTGATCTGCGGGCGAACAGGAGGATAGCTGCCTGCCAGCCCCATACTGAGTCTCTGTGTTCCAGCTGCAGAATAGAAGTGGCATGAGCATGTCCCCGCCATCCAGCCCGGCGTCCTCCTGCTCCCAGACACCGGAGTGGCCTTTTAAGAAAGCCAGGTAACTAACTGCTCACTTGGCGCGTGCTCGCTTGTCAGTGCCAGCCGGGAGGAGAGCAGTTGCCTTCGTAGCCACCCCGGCCCCCAGAGCCGGGACATTCCAGGCCCCTTTCTGAGATGGGGCTGCTGCGTCACCCACCAACGTGGAAACCTTATTGTGTCAACTGGCATCTCTGCTGCCTTGTTATGCCGCAGTCTCAGCAGCAGTGCTGAGCTGCACCATCCCTGCCCTTCTCCCATGCCGGGTTAGAGATTTGAGGGCTCAGATGGCTGTAGAAGCGACGTTGCCTTGTGGCGAGGCCTGGGTTGCTGGTTGCCAAAACATTGGGAAGAGACAGGCCCAGATTTTTGCCATCACCTCAAAATGAATTCACAGGAGCTACAGCAGAGTTGTATTTTAGCGCCTGATTCAGAGCACAGGCCCTTCTTTTCCTCTCTTCTGGCTCAGAGCAGGATCTGAGCTTCTGTTGTAACTAAAACCGACACAACTGCCTGCCCTGGGGACAGGGTGGGTCTCAGCCAGGGACCTGTGAGGGGCAGCGGCTCCCATCCGGGCCTCCCGGCTCCTGCCCTGAGGCTGATTTGTCCTGCGGAGGGTGCGCAGGCCCGACCGAGCTGGGGTCCTGGGAGCGGGGAACAGCTTCTCCAACTGCAACTGCTTTCAGGCTGGTGTGGTGAGGGCAAGGCTGTTGTCCTGAGGGCTGCTGTTTGGTGGAGGCAAAGCAGCACACCAGGGGTGCTGGTGGGAATCCTTTGTGTGTTCAGTCTCATCCTGCTCCCTGGGGATGGGGCCAAGCCTGGGATTGACCCTAACTGGCTCTCTCCTGCTTGCACAGGGAAGAGGAGTTGCATCGCTCCAACACTTCCTCTCCAGCGAAATCTGACAAGGAGCTGCAGACAGAGAAAGGTGAGTGTAGGTGGGCCCCAGCTCTCTGCCTGGGTTGGATGGGCCACTGGTGTGAGCAAGCAGCAGGACAGGAGGTCGCTGAGGTCTGCAGGTGGGATTGGCTTGAGATGTCACCTGGAAACTAGGAATGTGCTGGTACCAAGGCAGTGGACTTCTGGCCTCAGCAGCTGCCCTAAGGGTGTTTCTAGGTGATAAGCAAGGGTTGATGACAGTGTCAGTGTGCTAGCAGATGCCTGGGGGCTAGTTTGCAAGGGGGAACACCACCCCCGAAGCCAGCACAAAGCCAGCACGGGTCCAGGTATCCACCTTGGGGCAAGATCAGCTGTGGTACAAGTAGCACCCCAATCAAATTCCAGGCTGAGCTTATTCCAGCACTTCCTCAGCTAAGATAGAGAGGAAATCCTTTGTGCCCATTGCAGACAGGGTCCCATGGCACAGCACTAAATGGCTTGCGCAGTGTCTGTGGCTTGGGTAGGCAGTGTGCAAGGTCTGTCCGTGGAGGTGGGAAGGGGCTGCAGCTCTTCCAGGGAATCTCAGCCTTGTCCTCAGCTTAGACCCCAGCAGTGCCCTCTGAGATGGGTCATCCAGAGAGGAGTCAGAAGGGACAACCCCGTTGGTGCAAGCCAAATGCCACTTCTGCTCGGAGCTGGCCCTGACTTGTCTCCTCCTGTAGCGGTGGAGACGCCAGTGTGGAAGAAGCAGAACTCCCTGAGTCCACCGTCTGCATCGGGGAGCAGCAGGAACCACAAACGGAAGAACCAGTTGCTGTCAGCTTGCTCAGTGGACCAGCTGGTGCTGGTACGTCGCTGTCTCGCAGCCCCTTTTGCCCTCCTCTGGCGATAGAATGTGCTCACTGCAATTTCTGCAGGGCTGGGGGGAGACTGACCTGCCTGCCCTCGGGAAGGAGGCCCCGTCCTTGGCCAAGTGGGAAGTGACGCTATCCCCAGCCCCAGTGTCTGGTGGGCTGTGCGTGATTGTGCTGCCTGCTGCCGGACCAGGTAATGGCCTGGGGAAGGCCTGCCATGCCCTCAGTGCCAAGCCGGGGGCCAAAATGAATGGGGATCGGAGCTCCGCGGTAGCGTGCTGTGGCAGAACCACCTGCTTCACGGGTCTTGCGACGGCCAGCCTTCACCACACGTTCAGAGAGGCTCTGCTGGCTTCCCTGAGAAGGAGCTAAGCTGCTGCTCTCTCTTGGCAGCCCCTGCCGCCTCTGCTGGGCTACTCCATCACGTCAGAGGACCTGGATGCGGAGAGAGCGGCAGCATTGCAGCGGCTAAACAGAGCCTTGGAGGATAAGGCTGGTAAGGGCAGACTGGGAACGCAGAGGGGATGGCTACGAGTACAAACCCAGGCTGGGGCTGTTGATGTAGCACAGACCAGGGGAGCTCCTGGGCCAGAACTGACAGGTCCTTGGGTCTGGGGGTGTTCTTAGTGACTTCAGATTCAGGAGACCTTAACCCCCAGAGTCCTCAGGATGATGGGTGAGGCTCTCCAGGGCCAGAGCTGTGTGATGTTCCTGTGGAAGCTCTGCTAAGGGGTAGGCCCCTACAGCAAGTTGCAGGTCCTGATTTTTTTCCTCTTTCCCAGTAGATGCAGTCCCCAGCACCACTGCAGAGACAACATTTGCCGTGACTTCCCCAGAGCCTGCACCTGCCTCAACAGCTCCTGTCCTGGCCAGCACCAACTCACTCCTGGACAGCCTGAAGAAGATGCAGAGCAGCCAGGCTGCGCCTGTGCCAGCAGGTGAGGAGGAGGAGGATCGGCAGAGTGGGACTTTGGCAGAGCAAGGCAGGCACAGTCAAAGCTCTGCGTTGCCTCTGTGAGAGGCAGGTGGCAAAACTCCCTGTTCAAATTCTCTGCTGGTGGTGGAGCTCAGGCAGGTCTTGGGAGGGCAAGTCTGGGGACACTGAGCCTGTGGTCCTGCTGGGAGCTGCGGTAAACCTGGCTGGCTGTGTCTATATGGTATGGGTGGGTGCTGCTTCAGGAGCCTCTGCAGCAGCGAGATGGGTGCCGGGTGGGAGGG